CTACACGGGGGATCTTTGTCGTTGTGGTCCCGTGTGCGCGCGCGCTCCTCGAACCCCGGATCGCTGCGCGCGTGCGCGGCCCGCGCTTCACGTCAATTAATTCATTAACGACCCCGGCGAATTCACGGGCACGGAGCGACCCGCGACACTCAGCACACCACGGACCCCCACTCCCCTACCCGCCTGCCCCTGCCGGGGGTAGCAAGTAGCCGGGGGGTGCGTGGAATGCGCGTGTACACTCACACTCTGTACAACACACACTCTGTACAACACACACTGTAATATAAAGACAAATATCAATGTGTAACCTTTAACAGACTGTTGAAGCGAGTGCTGTTAGCGAATAGCACCTATGAAGGCTGGCACGGCACACGAGGGCGTCGTGTGACCAGCACCACGCCAGGCCGCCTTTGTTTCCCCAGTGACGATGTTTACACACCGCACCAGGTACTCATTTATTAAGGATGGATCGATCTCGAGGAGGACCAAAACCAGTTAAAATAATCGCCGTCATTGGTCGTGAGCGGGAATCGAACACGGGCCGCCGAGTTCGTAGCGCAGTGGAGCGCTCGCTCTGCTCCGCACGCTCTCCGCACGAGGCGAACCTGCCGCTTGCACGCAAAGGCAGTGCACCAGCAGTGCTGCAGGCAAGCGAGCCTGACTGCTGATGAGACACTCGAATGTCGAAACCGGTCCAAAGTTGTGCTTGATTCAAACCAATGTGGCTGATGGGATGCGTACATTCAAAACACACCTGCAACACGTGTACGTGGAGAGAGACAGGGGACTCAAGTTTATATTATTCTGTTAGCGGTTGGGGAGCACAGACGAGGAGGAATGTTATTGTTGGTGTTTATGTTACTCTTTGTTTTTTTCGGTAAAGTCACGTAGAAATAAGAAATAATAAAATTACATAATAGCGTACGATGTTTCGATTGCAACACAAGCAATCATCATCAGGTACAGAAGAGCTAAATTTAAGAGAGAGAGAGAGAGAGGAAACACATAACCGCAGATATATAGACGGAGGAGCACACTAAATCAAACAGGGTTTAGCAAAATTTGGAAACCATATAAAGCAACACAGACGGTCGGTCAAAACACAATTAACGCATGGTCTGGTTGATTACGCTATTTCAAAGATTTAACAATTACCGAAAAAAACAAAGAGTAATTCCTGCAGTCACGAAAGCGTCAAATCAAGTTTGATGTTTATGTTGTTCAGATAAACGGGAAGTGGCGGGGTGGGGCGGACGGGGGCGATGGGGGGGCTGACTTCTATAACAAAACGCGAGGACAGATGGACGCGCTCAACCATGGACAGAGAAGATCTGGGCGGGGGAGGGAAAGGGGGGGGGGTCAGCGAGGACGAGAATAAAGAGAGGGAGTTGACCATAGAGGCAGAAGCAGAGAAGGAGTGACCACCCACTGAATGGAAGTTGACCGGGCGGCCGTGGTTGGAGACCTTGGTTGCTGGAGCGGAGGCCACGTGTGGAGGAGCTGTGCCTCCCGTCGGTGGTTGTTGTGTGGAGAACGACGCACGGCGTTGGCCGTGGTGCACAGACAGCGCGTGGTCCCCGTGTGCTCGGGGCGGTGATCCCGGCGAATGTGTTGACGTCTGCGCCACACACACGTGCACACACACGTGCACACACACGTGCACACACACGTGCACACACACAAAGATCCCCCGTATAGCCTTAACAGACTGTGGGAGCAAGTGCTGTTAGCGAGCACCTATGAAGGCCGAACGGTACACGAGGGGGTGGGTGGCCAGCACCACGCCCGACCGCCTTTGTCTCCCCAGTGGTGATGTTTACACACCGCACCAGGTACTTATTTGAGTCGACCTCGGAGAGGCTCAGGACCGGTTCAGATAATCGTCACTGGTGTTGGCCGTTAGCGGGAATCGAACTCGGGTTGCCGGGTTTATAGCGCAGCGCGCTAACCGCTACACTAGCGCACAAAACGCGCGCACACACACGCACGCGTGTTCATCGTCTGACCTGTCCGTGTGAGTACTTATAACCGCGTGTAAGGCTATTTACATCTCACACATACGCACAGAGACCTGCATCGCGACTCGTGTAAAGCATAGAGGTGTTCTAGAAGCGCTAGGCGAGATGACATTCTCGTAGAGAGGACGACGCAGAGGAACTACAGAGCCGGAGGGCAGCAGCAGCCACGCGGCAAGGAGCCGGCGCTACCTGCAATTGCCGAAGCTCTGCGGTCCTCTGTATTTGAATATATTATTGGTCAATTGATGAGTATTTAATGGAAATAGATAGTTCACTGTATGCATGAACGAGACAATTGGCATAAAACATCTTTGTTTTAGAATCTGGGCCCCAGCAATCATGGCGCAGAGTCCGATTGGTTTGACTGGCAAGGGTCTGTGAATACGTGTACTGTACCTGAGGTGTGTGGTGGGGGCAAGAGCGGTTTGCGCAGTGCACCACAAACCCGGCGTCCGGTGTTCAATTCCCGCTCACGGCCACAAACACCAGTGACGGAAATCTGAACCGTTCCTGGGCCTCTCCCCTAGGTCGACTCAGCCTCAAATGAGTACCTGGTGCAATGTGTATATATTACCACTCGGGAGAGAGAGGCGGCCGGGCGTGGTGCTGGCCACCCACCCCCTCCTGCGCCGTGCCGGCCTTCATAGGTGCGACTCGCTAACATCACTTGCCCCAATAGTCAGTTAAGGCGATATGAGGGTGCACACACACTGAAAGACACACACGGCATTTGTGAGGGTGCACACACACGTGTGTGCACCCTCACAAATTCCATGATGTGTAGTTGATGTGCATGCCGTGTGTGTCTTTCAGTGTGTACACGCGTAAGTATACACGCGACGCACTGTTGCACTATACATATATAGGTGTGCGTGTGTGTACAAGGACCTTCAGTAAATGAATGCCGTCCTCTAAACACGTGCTGTGTGTGTACACAAGGCTGCAGTACGAGTGTCAGTGTGTGCACTAGGTCGCGCTGGTGCAGTGGTTAGCGCACTGCGCCACGGGTAACATCAACGGGCCCTGATTAAAAAGGCGGCGAGGGTGACACGATCCACTCCGCGTTTTGTGCTGCGCTTACTCCGCTCTCGTTGGATCTTTGTCATTTTATGCGCATCATCATCATCATCGTCGTCATCACTTTGATCGATCCACTACTGGATGAAGGCCTCCTCCCCATGCTCTCGCCGTCCACCAGGGTCCTGCGATGTGACAATCGCGTGGATTTTTATCCGGGGCCTCCGGTTTTCTCTCCACCTATAAAAATCCACGCGATAAGCCACTTCGTTGAGCTATCATTTGTGACCAAGTCTCTTCAGAAAAAACAGCTATATCGCTCAGTGGGCCTTAACTGGTAAATAAAAAAGTTTTCAGTTTATATCCGCAGCGGTGACCGTCCGCTCGTGGTCGTCACTGAGCCGGCCTCGGGCCGCGTTCCCTCCTTTGGCTGCCATTCCTTCACCAGTCTCACCCGTCTCACGGCGGGCATTCTTAGTTCGCTTACCTCCGAACAGTCCACGTGATGTCGATCGTGTGCGCCTGTTCTCTGATCCCCCTGTTCCTCTCTCTCTCTCTGTCTCACTCTCAGTATAAATCTACGCTCTCTTTGCGCACTCTCCCGCCTTGGTGCAGTTTTCGCTCTGTACGAGCCCACGTCTCTGATCTACGCGTCTCAGCACGGGTCGAAATGTTGCTTCTCAAATCAAATCCAGTTTTGCAAAAGCGCTCCTCCACCCGAGCTCTTGAGCGCCTCTTTATTATTTCATCAATTTGACCCCCTGGCCACCCTCAATAATTGCCTCAGATGCACCACGCACTCTGGTTGCGGCGCTCCAGCGCTGTCCCTCCAATGATGAACACGCGTCTCGCCACCCCTCACCAAGAGATAGAGATGATGAAGGCCCGGATGGCTCGCAATCGGAAGTTTTCGAGTTCAGATCCTGGTGGAAAGTTGACTCACCCCATTATCATTCCTTCCGTGTCGATAAAATGAGTACCACTTTGTGGAGGAAGTAAACGGCGCTTGTCCTGTGGATATACTCCTCGTGTGTGTGACAAAAGGCGTGTGTGTAGACTGCTGGGGACAGTTATGTTAGCGAGCACCTATTAAGGCCGGCATGGCGCACGAGGTGTGTTTGTGTAAATCTATCTGTGCGTGGGGATATGTGTGCGTATATGTGTGTATCTGTAAAAAGTACGTGTGCCCGTGTATAATTGCGTTTGCATGTATATGTAATTAAGCTGAGCGGCAGTGTAGCGGTTCGCACACCACGTTACGAACCCGAGACCCGAGTTCGATTACCGCTCACGACCAACATAAGCGGCAAATATCTATGTAAACCGGTGCTGAGCCTCCCCTACGTTGACAAGGTGTATACAAATCTGCATTGGGGAGACAAAGGTGACTGGGTGTGGTTCTGGCCACACCACTCTTTCGTACATCGTGCCTTCATAGGTATTCCCAAACAGAAGTTGCTATAGCAGTCGCTCCGTCTATAATGGGGGATCTTTGGCTTTATTATTTTTTTCCGCGCCTGTGAGAGAGAGAGTGTGCGCATGCGATGCCTCGCGTTCGCGAGTCTCTGCGTGCATCGTTAACAGGCGCTCGCTAACAGGGCTCGCGTCGCAGCCGCTCACGACGTCAATGAGCCCCCCCCGCCTTTGTTAATTAACGATGCGCGCGCCACCGCGCAGATCCTCGGGCGCGCGTGCGCGCGCGCACCCTGATTGACGCTCGCTCCTCCTGTTTGCCTGCATCCCCTCTCCCTTGGTCGCCTTTCCCTTGGTGCCGGACATCCTGTCCTGGCATCCCCTCTTTCCCTGCTTCGCTCATTGCTACCTCTCTCATTTCTTCACTGGGCCCAGTCTCTGCGACTATGATTCCCTCTCTCCGATCCTCACCTGCCGATGCCATCCCTGCTGTGATTCCCTCTCCACTGGTTGCTGATCCCTTCTCCCGTCTTCCCCTCCCCCTCCGGGCAGGTCTGGTTCCAGAACCGCCGCGCTAAGTGGAAGAAGCGCAAGAAGACCACCAACGTGTTCCGCACCCCGGGGGCCCTCCTGCCGCCCGCGGGGCTCCCGCAGTTCCCTCCCTCCATGGCCGACTCGCTGTGCTCCTTCCACGCGGGGGACGCGCGCTGGGGAGCCGCCATGTCCGGGGTCTCGTCGCTGCCGCTGCCCCCGTCTCTGGGCCGCCAGCCCCAAATGGGGCAATCCCTCTCACAGTGCAGTCTGGGCGGGGGGCCCAATCACATGGGGCTGTCGAACGGCGGCGGGCTGCAGTCGCACCTGTACCAGCCCACGTTTCCCGGCATGGTGTCCACGTCCCTGTCGGGCCCCGCGCAAGTGAGCACGGTCCCCACGGGGTCCCCGCAACTCTGCGGGTCTCCCGAAGTGGGGGACATGTGGCGGGGCACGAGCATCGCCTCCTTGCGCCGCAAGGCCCTGGAGCACACGGTCTCCATGAGCTTCGCCTAGCATAGGGGGGTAGATAGGGAACGGGGGGTAAGGGGTGGAAGGGATAAGAAACTGGGGGAGGGGGGGGGAGCATTGGGGGATCGGTGCTGGACCCCAGGGGACCGGGTTGGGGCCGGGTAGGAAAGAGTCCGACCTCGTCCGGTTCAGAGCCAGTTGGGTCGGCTCGGCCCCGATTGTCTCCAATCGGCTCTGATCGGGCCCGGTCGGGTCGGGACCACGCGTTGCGCAATTGACGGCACCCCGTGTGGGTTCCGTGCCACTGGAGCGAGGGGAGCGCCTGATCCTGGCACATGTGGGGTCTCTTTGGCGTCTCCATGGATGGAGTCTTTCAGGGATCTCTGTGGGGTCTCGATGGTTTCTCTATGGGTCTCCATGGCGTCTTCATGGGGGTTCTGTGGAGTCTTTATGGGTCCCGGTGTGCTCTCTGTAGGGCCTCTGTCGAGGCCCGGTGGAGTCTTTTCTGGGTCCCGACGAGGTCTCTGTGGGATCTCTATGGAGTGTCTATGGGGTCCCGATGGGGTCCCGGTGGGCTCTCTATGATGTCCCTGTGAGATCTCTATGGGGTCCCTGTGAGATCTCTATGGGGTCCCTGTGAGATCTCTATGGGGTCCCGACGAAGTCTCTGTGGAGTCTTTATGGGGTCCCGGTGAGGTCCCGATGGGGTCTCAGTGGGGTCTACAGGGGTCTCGGGGGAACGTCCTTTGTACATACGCGGCTGCGCGCCGCCCCGTGTTCGTGAGTGTCTGTACCCCGTATCCATCCCGTGTCGTGTTTTGCTCTTTCACCGTCCCGTGCTTGACCGTATGAAATTACAGTATATAGGCCTACAGTATATATATATACAGTCTATATGACCCCGAGAGAGAGGGAGAGCGGGGTCACGGAGCGACCCGCAGCGGCGACGCGGGGTCTCTCGATTGGCGCGCGACGGCTCCTCCTCCCCCGCCACCCGCGAGTCTACTAACGAGGAGGCAATTAAGGGATTTGTTAATGAACGCGTTAATTGGTTGATTGATTTAGCGACTCCGCTGTTCGTTTTGTACCCGGAGCCGCGGGGCCGCGCTTTGAATTAAAGTGACCGAACGAGTCCGTGTCTGTGTCCTTCCGCGCCGCGACACACCAATAGTGTCACACCAACAGTGTCACACCAACAGCGTCACACCAACAGTGACACACCTACAGTGTCACACCAACAGTGTCACACGAACAGTGACACACCAACAGTGTCACACCAACAGTGTCACACAAACAGTGACACACCAACAGTGACACACCTACAGTGTCACACCAACAGTGTCACACCAACAGTGACACACAAACAGTGTCACACCAACAGTGTCACACCAACAGTGTCACACCTGCAGTGACACACAAACAGTGACACACCTACAGTGTCACACCAACAGTGACACACCAACAGTGACACACCTACAGTGTCACACCAACAGTGTCACACCAACAGTGACACACCAACAGTGTCACACCTACAGTGACACACCAACAGTGACACACCAACAGTGTCACACCAACAGTGTCACACCTACAGTGACACATCAACAGTGACACACTATGGCTTTTGTCTGCAGAACACACGTTACCCGTGACTCCTTTCGCGCTCATCAGTGTCCCGATCAATATATCATTACTGTGTTTATCATTGTATTACTGCATTGTTATTGTGCGTATCACTGTGTGTATTACTGTGTTTATAATTGTGTATATTACTGTGTTTATTATTGTGTTTATCACTGTGTGCGAAAAACATACAACTATACAATGTCTATATTACTGTTTGTATCAGTGTATATTACTATGTGTATCATTGTGTATATTACTGTGTGTATCATTGTGTATGTTACTGAACATTATTTTGTATATTACTGTGTGCATCATTGTGCATATTGCTATGTATATTATTGTGTATATTACTGTGTGTATCATTGTGTATATTGCTATGTGTATTATTGTTCATAATACTGTGTGTATCATCGTGTATATTATTGAAACTTATTTTGTATATTACTGTGTGCATCATTGTGTATATTGCCATGTGTATTCTTGTGTATGTTACTGTGTGTATCATTGCGTATATTGCTATGTGTATTATTGTGTATATTACTGTGTGTATCATTGTGTATATATTACTGAAAATTATTTTGTATATTACTGTGTGCATCATTGTGCATATTGCTATGTGTATTATTGTGTATATTACTGTGTGTATCATTGTGTATATTGCTATGTGTATTATTGTGTATATTACTGTGTGTATCATTGTGTATATTACTGAAAATTATTTTGTATATTACTGTGTGCATCATTGTGTATATTGCCATGTGTATTATGTATATTACTGTGTGTATCATTGTGTATATTGCTATGTGTATTATTGTGTATGTTACTGTGCGTATCATTGTGTATATTACTATGTGTATTATTGTGTATATCACTGTGTGTATCATTGTGTATATTGCTATGTGTATTATTGTGTATATTACTGTGTGTATCATTGTGCATATTGCCATGTGTATTATTGTGTATATTACTGTGTGTATCATTGTGTATATTACTGAAAATTATTTTGTATATTACTGTGTGCATCATTGTGTATATTACCATGTGTGTTATTGTGTATGCTACTGTGTGTATCATTGTGTATATTACTATGTGTATTATTGTGTATATCACTGTGTGTATCATTGTGTATATTGCTATGTGTATTATTGTGTATATCACTGTGTGTATCATTTTGTATATTGCCATGTGTATTATTGTGTATATTACTGTGTGTATCATTGTGTATATTACTGAAAATTATTTTGTATATTACTGTGTGCATCATTGTGTATATTACCATGTGTGTTATTGTGTATGCTACTGTGTGTATCATTGTGTATATTACTATGTGTATTATTGTGTATATCACTGTGTGTATCATTGTGTATATTGCTATGTGTATTATTGTGTATGTTACTGTATCATTGTGTATATTGCAATGTGTATTATTGTGTATATTACTGTGTGTATCATTGTGTACAACAGTGTTTATTATTGTGTGTATATTTCTCATTGCTTTTTTTCGTGATGTGTTTACAATTTGTGTTGTCATATTTAATGGTAGGTTCATGTGCACGCATATCCATGATTATGTGAGTGATCATTATCAGCGTGTTTGTGTACATGTGCGTACAGTATATTGTGTATGCGTGTGTTTGTGCAAACGTACAGTTTTGGTTATTATCGTTTATATATCTATGTACACACGTGTCGTGCTTATAAGTGTGTGTGTGGTTATTTACGTGGGGAACGGCAGTGTAGTGGTGAGCGCGCTGCGCTACGAATCCGGCGACCCGAGTTTGATTCCCGCTTACGGCCAACACCAGTGGCGACTATCTGAGCCGGTCCCGACGTCGACCTCAAATGAGTAAACATCAACACTGGGAAGACAAAGGCGGTCGGGCGTGATTCTGGCCACCCACCCCCTCGTGTGCCGTACCGGCCTTCATAGATACTCGCTAACAGCACTTTACATATCAGTCTGTTAAGGCTGTCTGGGGATCTTTGTCTATGTGGTTGCCAAACTATGATTTGGCATGTGTTGTTATTTGTGCGTGTTATGTTATCGTGTGCAATACTGAATTATGTCTGTGAGTTGTGTTTCTTTACATGGTTGTGTGCTCATCTAGTTTTATGTGCATAATCTGTGTTCATTGTGTGTTGTGTCTGCTTATTGTGTATTCACTGTTGTGTCTAGTCTTGTCACGGTATTGCAGTTGTGTGCGTTTGTTCGTGCGTCGTGTGCATGCGTATGTTTCTGTGCACATCACCGTGCTCGTCAAGCAGATTGTCGATTATGTCTATTAAGTAACACATTTGTGTAAATGTCGTGGGTTTACAGGGGGAGTGGAGGCCTCGATTGTTCCCAGGATCCGGGGTCGTTATCCTGACCCTCATTTCTCCAATCATCATCCAATAAAGCCAATCGTCATCATATAATGAATTATAACGATTCAATGAATAAGCATCATAATACATTCAATTATAATGATGCAGTAAATAAGCATCATAATACAATGAATTATGATGTAATAAATAATAATCATCATGATCAAACAATTATAATGATGCAATAAATAATCATCATACAAGCAATTATAATGATGCAATAAATAATCATCATTTAATCAAGTATATTGATGCAATAAATAATAATCGCATACAATCAATTATAATTATGCAATAAATAATAATCATCATACAATCAATTATGATGCAATAAATCATCATCATACAAGCAATTATAATGATACAACAGATAAATAATCATCATACAATGAATTATAATAATGCAATCATCATCATACAATCAATTATAATGATGCAATAAATAATAATTATCATACAATCAATTATGATGCAATAACAATCATCATCATACAATCAATTATGATGCAATAAATCATCATCATAAATCAATTATAATGATGCAACAGATAAATAATCATCATCATATTCAGCATCACCCTCCAATAGGGAGGGCATCGCCAGGAGGATCTCGCGGAGGCTCCGCGTCATCACTCACGGGGGAGCTGCGCGAGTTCACGCACGCGGGTGGGGTCCTGGGGAGTTGTTGAGTGGGAGGAAGGTGGTGGTGGGGGTATTGGGTGGGAGAAGGTGGTGGAGGGAGGGAGGAGGTGGTTGAGGGAGGGAGGGAGGGAGGTGGTGGGCGTCTTGGGTGGGAGGTGGTGGGGGTTTTGGGTGGGAGGTGGTGGAGGGAGGGAGGGAGGGAGGTGGTGGGGGTCTTGGGTGGGAGGTGGTGGGAGTCTTGGGTGGGAGGTGGTGGGGGTATTGGGTGGGAGGTGGTGGAGGGAGGGAGGGAGGGAGGTGGTGGGGGTCTTGGGTGGGAGGTGGTGGAGGGAGGGAGGTGGTGGGGGTCTTGGGTGGGAGGTGGTGGGGGTATTGGGTGGGAGGTGGTGGGAGTCTTGGGTGGGAGGTGGTGGGGGTCTTGGGTGGGAGGTGGTGGGGGTCTTGGGTGGGAGGTGGTGGGGGTATTGGGTGGGAAGTGGTGGAGGGAGGGAGGTGGTGGGAGTCTTGGGTGGGAGGTGGTGGGGGTATTGGGTGGGAGGTGGTGGGGGTCTTGGGTGAGAGGTGGTGGGGGTCTTGGGTGGGAGGTGGTGGGGGTCTTGGGTGGGAGGTGGTGGGGGTTTTGGGAGGGAGGTGGTAGGGGTCTTGGGTGGGAAGTGGTGGGGGTCTTGGGTGGGAGGTGGTGGGGGTCTTGGGTGGGAAGTGGTGGAGGGAGGGAGGTGGTGGGGGTAATGGGTGGGAGGTGGTGGGGGTCTTGGGTGGAAAGTGGTGGGGGTATTGGGTGGGAGGTGGTGGGGGTCTTGGGTGGGAGGTGGTGGGGGTGTTGGGTGGGAAGTGGTGGGGGTCTTGGGTGGGAGGAAGTGGGGGTATTTGGTGGGAGGTGGTGGAGGGGATATTGGGTGGGAGGTGGTGGAGGGAGGGAGGTGGTGGAGTGGGTATTGGGAGGGAGGTGGTGGGGGTCTTGGGTGGGAGGTGGTGGGGGTCTTGGGTGGGAGGTGGTTGAGGGAGGGAAGTGGTGGGGGTGTGGGGGCGTCCGTCTCCCTCGCCCCCGACAGATGGTCCCTCCCCGTGTTTCATGTTCATTGTTTTTATTGTTTTTATTGCCGCGATTTTATCTCCTCCTCCCCTCCTCCTTCCCTTCTCCGCCCCCTTACGCTCCCTAGAAACGACAGCAGATGATACTGCTCATGATGATGATAATGATGAACACACGCATGCGCATTACACCTCACAAACATTACATAAACACCTTACACACACACACCTTGCACAAGACAAATATATATTAAGGCCGTCACGGCAGGCGAAGGGCTGGGTGGCAAGCACCACGCCCGGCTGCCTTAGCCTCCCAGTGCACCAGGTCCTCGTTGTAAGACTGAGTCGATCTCCTAGGGAAAGCCCAGCACCGGTTCAAATGTTCACTGCAACTGGTTTTACTGGTCGTAAGCAGGAATCGAACTCGGGTCGCCTGGTTCCGAGCGCAGCGCACTCAGCGATACACC